ATCTTTGATTTAAGAGACATCGAATTTATTGGAACAATTTACAAAAAAAATGTAATTTTGTCATTTTATCATTTTTTATGACCTATGGTTAAACTGTAGCGTAGTGAAGTTTAAATAGTGTTTGTAAAGTAAATCTCTGAGCAAATTTGTTGTTTACACGTCAGAAACAGTAGGTATATGCTGGAAACTGTAATAAAATTTACCATTATGATAATTAGAATTGAACAAAATATTGAAAAAAATTTGATAAACTTGTTTTTTCCCTTAAAAAAAATTTGAACCGTCACATTGAATACTCTCAAACGATTTTACAGTTGAGCTACGATCTAAAACTTAGGTTTCTTGATGGTTTGCTTGTAATATATACAGACATAAAAATCAAGTTTTAAGTTAAGGCGAAATTACTTAGATGTTTATACCTATAAAATTTTATTTCTTATTTTGTATTTTAAGATATATTTTGTCGTCACTCTGCACCGCTTCATATTGGTGCATATAATGTCAGCGCCATTCTTTTTGATCTTCAGACAGTTATTTTCCTGGAATGATGAATTATTTGAAACAAAAAAGTGAACATTGAGCGACTCTCGATAAGAACGTAAGTGGAATTTATAAGTTTTTGAAACATATTTAGGAGTCCAGTATAGCAAATTAATTCACTACTCAGACTACATCGGTTTGTTTTTGATTGGAAAGATTTGTAGCCAGAAGCTTAACATCAGTCTCTGAAACAATAGAAATTGATATAAAAAACTTTTGATTGAAATGAAGTTCACTAAACTATTCAAATCCGTAAAATTTACCTACCTAAAAACATACCAGAATATACTCATTTCCCTTCAATTTATAGCCATCCGCCACAACATAATTTAAAATAAAATTAGGAAGAAGATATGTGTTATATTTCAGCTGACAGCTGTTCCAAACCTCAAAAAAGTGTTTCACTTTTATTCCGCTTCAGAAAACTCTCATTTTCGCAGATTATACGATTAGCTGCAGTAACTCCAGAAAAATTCAGGTTAGCAAAATGTCAAAAAGACTAATGTCAAATTACGAAGGTTTTCTAGACTAAACTCCACGAACACTCCTTAAACCTGCAAAAACAGCTGATCTCAGGTTAAAATTATAAACTTTAGAAATTTTGTATCTGACTAAAAAAAGTAGATACTCATACTGATTATATTGTTTCATACTCAAAACGTAAATTTATTCTTGAGGTTTTTACTCACTATAGCTTTTAATCATGCTGAAAAGTTTTTTTTGCATAACCGCTTGTAACGTAAAGATCAAGTCGCGAAAACTTACAGAACCAAATCCTCAGTGTATCATAAACATCAGTAATCCGTACTTTCACCTACACCTCCAACGAAAACAAAAGTAGTCTAGTAGAAAAAAGAATACAACAAATGATGACCAGAGTCATAAAGTCAAATCCTGAATTTTCCCTCGACAATTCTTCATTGCCAGAAGTTTCAGCTTTTTAGAAACACTCAAAATCAGTATCCGTACCTTTTGTTTGCTCACTTATCAACATTACATATGCTTTTCAAAAGAATGAGGTTTTAGACCCTACTCAAACAATTTCTCGAAAATTTATTACTGGATGAAATTTCCTTCAAACCTTCATGGAATTCAATTACATCAAGTTTCCCAAAAACTTTTTTCCTCTTTTCCGCAATTCGCCTTTTTAATGCTAGGAGTATAGTATAACTGTAACACCGTATTTATTAATGATCTTTTAAGCTTATCGCAAACTTATGGTTAAAAAAAGAGGACACACATTTTGAAAAATTGCTCGGAGAAAACACAGAAGAGATATACAAATTTGTTTAAAATTTACTGACTAAATCAGTCCCTAAGCGACAGCGACGAATTTTAAAAAAGCATAAGTCTGCCAATTTCATTACTTGGTACTATAGCCATCCTGTTTAACCTCTGAAGATTGAAAAGAAAATGACCCATCAATTATTTCAAGATCCAAAAAAGTTTTTACAGCACAGTTAAAAAAAAAGTCTTTTTAATGTGTTAGCCGCAAAAGTTAAAAGGTGCTACCCACTGAGTTGATCGTGAGAATAGTATTGCAAATTGTACAATCAGTCATAAACTTGATATTTAGGATATTTTTAAATATGCCAAAATCCAAATAAATTCAACTAAAAAATCAGTTACGGGAGAAATTGCGAGGAAATATTAATTGCAAATTGCTGTCGGCGTTTATTTGAAAAAAAAAAAAAAAACTGCTGTTATCCAAGAAAGTCCAGTGAAATCCTCATAATCTGAGTTTCACCTTAACACTGCACAAATGTTTCACACTTAAATATTCATATGCATTCTCCAACTTGCAGATGAGATTAACAAATATTATGCAGTCAAGACTTCATTAAAACCCCATATCCACTTCATCGGTTAACGAAGACCCAAAGCAATCGTCAGCCTTTTACCAACAAACTCGAAAGTTCTTTAAGTTTTATTTAACTCATTTTTTCTCCTTACATGCTTGACAGACATTCAAAATAAATACTATAGTTCCAAAAAAATAATTGAGTAAAGATTTTCTGTAGTGAAGTAAAAAACTTAAACTGAAACTGCCTTAGTGGCATTGTTAATTTGTCCTCTTGGCCTTAAACAATAAAAAATTAAAAAAATTTCCTTCGTTTTTATTACAAGTAAGATAGATACACTTTTAACCTGTTTCAGACGGACTGAACCAATGAATAGTTGCATGCGGTGGCTATACACAAAACCATGTACAGTATCAGTAGCCATTTTACCGGTAAAAAGATACAGGAGTCAAGCCAAGTTGAGAATAATATTAAAAAAAAGTAAGACTCAGTTCTTTCCACCTTTTCTCTCTTCGTACTTAATAAAATATTACAGCTTTCATTTCCAACACGCGTTCTAAAATTTATCATCCTCAAATCCGTATACTACCGAAAATCCATATCCAGAAGACCTGAAGTTTTGGCCTTTTTTCTTTGCCCTTATATGGAAAAAAAAATCTTTCAAAAATGTCGAAGATTTAGCGCTTTCCAATAAACTTTATAAACCGATTAGTGTGAGAAGATATGAAACAATCTTTCACCAAATCCGTCTTTCGTTTTTTTTCTTTTTTTTTCTCCCAAAGGTATACTTTGAAATGAAATACCATTTTCAATAGAAAGTTTCCTTAGACTTGCTGCTATTAACACAAAGACTGTTGTGTAATTCACAGTGCGACACTTCTGTATTCTTATCCCTCACACCCACAGTACTTTCGCAAGTTCTCCCTACTATTCTCAAGTTTTCTACTAAAGACCATAAAAATACATATCAAAAAATTCGTTGAAAATTTCAACAGATTGTTTCGTAATAAATTATCTGTAAATTTTAGGACAATTTGCGAACACTAATATGGTCAAATGAGTGATCACTGCTAAAGTATAAATTAGGCTTACTTGTTGTCGACAGTACTTCATAGTCTTCTACAATGTTTCTGCAACAAACTTAATTTTTGTTGAATATTATTGCTCATAAATTTCTTTATGGTCTTTCTGCTGATAAACCAAC